GTAGCTTTGATGTTATTGTTGGTAGCCACAATATCGCTCGTCTGCACCGACAAATCGTCTTCTTGAGTACCAGCATCACCGATCTGAACACTAGGGCGAATGCAAACCGGCGAAACAGGCACGTGCGTGACAACGAGTCGCTCCGGCTGAGGCGGTAACTTTAGCATTTCTTGATCGGAAGGAGGCATCTTGGCCAGCAACGGGAGCAGATGGAGGGGAGTGAGGTCCTCATAAGCCACTTTGCTGAGGTGATTGCCGATTTCGGGGTTGTTACTGACGGCATCTGAGTACTGCTGTTGATACTCTACCTTAGCCTGGTCCTTGGGGAGCTCATGGACAAGCGTCATATACCCGCGAGTACCCTTCTTGACAGCACCATTATAGGCATCGCAGTAGGGACATTGTCGCACTTTTTTACAAGTGTCGACGAGCTTGCGAAAAACTCCTTTTTGTTGCTGCACGTCCTTAGTGGCCTTCCTCGTCCTGTTCAACCACACCGACCTCTTCTCGGGCGCCAACAGCACTCTACCACAACGCTTGCAAATGGCAGATAGGAGAAGTTGTACGTGGCGAAAGTAACCGACGTGGAAAACGGGTAAGACCAGTTTGATAGACCCAAAGTGACCAGGACACTCCCTGAAATTCTTCCCACAGGTTTGACAGTCGCTCATCCTATTCATAGCACCGAGACGAGGGTCATGACAACCTAGAGCGAGCTGCTTGTGGGTCATCGGGTCGAAATAGCCTTGGTTCAGCACTTCAACTTCGCCATATTTAGAGATTTCCTCGCCGGACATAATGCCGAAATCAACGCCTTTGATAGCATAGCTCTCCCCACCGTTCTCGTCAGAAGGTATGGGTTCTTTGATAAGGTACTCGAGGCCGACGTCCTCAGCGTCAGTACTGCCTTTGGGGGTCTCTACCACCTCCATGGCAGTGGGGGAGGCGACAACGGCCATAGAGAGGGAGGATAACAACTGATAGAAGTTGGGGGAGGAGTGGTATTATACTCAAGGTTGTTACATTAAAAAAATCAATTATCTCGGACGGGGCGGCTATGCCACAGCCCCAAGATATGTCGCTGCGAAATTGTCTGTACGAAGCCATATCTTTAGGTCGTGGCATAGCTGCCCCATGAGATCGATCTTTTAAAAGCGAAATGAACATTAAGAGGGTCTATTTAACAGGTAAGCAGAGCAACACCACTTATGCCTGTTGAACATGGTCTAAATCTTGAGCGGAGCGAAGCTCATAATCGATCACGATGGCGTGCGCAAACGTTTAATAGTGATGCCTCAACGGTTGACTAGTTACGTTAGTTCCTTTTCTCCTTTCATTTTCTGAACACAATGTTCTTCGGGATGGACGATATGTTTGGTGGGGCTGCCGGTGGTCCCAAGAAGGACGTAGATACCCACAAATTCTATGACATACTCGGCGTTAAAAAAGACGCGACCAAAGCTGAAATTAAGAAGGCGTAAGTATCATTGACGGGGAGGAGGGTGTATTCAGGGTTGCTACCAGCCCTCCATAGTGGTAGACGATTCGTTTGGCTCAAGGGTCCATTTAAGGTACCGGAAGCTCGCGCTGAAGGAACATCCCGACAAGGGAGGTGATCCTGAGAAGTTCAAGGAGCTCACCCGAGCTTACGAGGTCCTCAGCGACGAGCAGAAGCGGTCGCGATATGACAAGTTCGGCGAGGAAGGTGTAGACCAGGATGGTAAGATACAAAGCAGGTCTGAGTGGCTACCATATGTTATTCATTCAGGTATGGGCCCCGGTAACGCCGAGGATATCTTCGACATGGTCTTCGGGGGTGGCCGCGGTCGCTCCACTGGCCCTCGAAAAGGAGAGGATATCTCCCATGTATTGGAAGTCCCCTTAGCCCAGTTCTATAACGGTGCCACTCGCAAGCTCGCCATCAACAGGGTCGTTATCGACCGGTCCTCACCAATCACCACTTGCAATGCCTGTGATGGTCAGGGTGTCACCATCAAGACCGTCCGGATGGGTCCCATGGTCCAACAGATGCAGTCTGCTTGTCAACAGTGTCACGGTCAAGGTCGCAGTTTCAAGACGAAGAAGTCCAAGGAGGTCATCGAGATTCACATCGAGAAGGGCATGAAGTCCGGTCAGCGGATACCCTTCCGGGGAATGGCCGATGAGAGCAGCCCCGATGTCGAGCCTGGCGACCTCATCATCATCCTCAAACAGAAGGAGCATGACGACACTGAGTTCACTCGGAAGGGCAACGATCTGTTCATCAGGAAGCCCATCAGCTTGGTAGAAGCTCTTACTGGGTATACTGCTGTTATCACCCATATGGACGGTCGGAAGCTTATCGTCCGGTCTAAGCCTGGTGACATTATCAAGCCTATTGACCTGAGTTCGGAGAAGCATTATCTGAAGTGCATCAAGGGCGAGGGCATGCCTACTCATCAGAACCCCTTCCTCTGTGGTAACCTTTTCCTCATATTGGACATTGTTTTCCCCGAGTCCCTCACGCCCGAGGCCTGTGAGATCCTCCAGGAGGTCCTCCCTACCCCCACCAACGCCCCCATCATCACAGATGAGATGGAGGAGACGTACGAGCATCATGAGTTGGTCGATATGGATCCTAAGGAGAGCGCTGCTGCTACCGCTGGTTTCGACAAATCTAATGAAGCCTATGAGGAGGATGAGGAAGGGTCCATGCCTGGTGGTGCTCAGAGGGTCCAGTGTGCCCAACAGTAACGACTTGATAGAACGTTTGATAACAGAGTAATTTGTAGGATATTTTTGGAGGTCGCTAAGGATTCCCCTGCGCGATCCTTGCGATTTCACCCTTTTACTCTGCTCACTGTGACGAAGTCTAATACACTGGTCACAACACTGTCGCTGTCGCTGAGTTGTTGCTCATCGTTATTATGGGGAGCCCTGTAGCGGGGTCTTCCTGTATCAATACTACTACTATCATCATCATTCAAAACAGCTCCATAGTGCTACTCCTATAGAGTGGCAGTAAAAAACAAATACCCGCTTCGCTCCGCTCGTGTTTTGTTGTGGGTCAATAGTGGGATCTTTTTTTATGATGACTGCTTGTGATAGTTCTGTTATTCCAACCGGAAGCACTCATATACGATGTTTTTCGGCAATGGAGGAATGTTCGGGGAAGATTTCGGTGGTCGAGGTCCTTCCAAAAATGCCGATACGCAGAAGCTCTATGACGTCTTGGGGGTGGGCAAAAATGCTTCTACAGCGGATATCAAGAAGGCGTGAGTTTGGGCGTATCTTTTTATCTGTCGATGACCCGTTTGAACCTTAGATATCGCAAGTTGGCGATGCAGCATCATCCTGATAAGGGCGGCGATGAGGAGGAGTTCAAGCTGATTACCAAGGCTTATGAGATTCTGAGCGACGATGAGAAACGAAGAAGATACGATCAGTTTGGCGAGGAGGGTGTCGACTCTGATGGTAGGACCATGGGGTCACCCCCTTGTATTTCGCGGAAGTTCGGGTTTAGGTGGTATGGCGCATGCGACTGACATTTTTGATATGATGTTTGGTGGAGGCGGCAGAAGAGGAGGAGGAGGTCGTCGTAGAGGTGATGACGTCCAGCACATTTTGGAGGTGCCGTTGAAGCAACTGTACACTGGTGCTACTCGAAAGCTGATGATCAATCGAGTGGTCGTCGATAAGGACGTTCCGGTAACCACGTGTAACGCGTGTGATGGTCAAGGGGCTACTGTGAAGGTCATTAGGATGGGCCCGATGATCCAACAGGTGGGTTGCTTGGGAGTTGCCATCATAGAGGGGGCTTCATGTGGACCCGGCCCAGGTCATCTCAACATCTAGGGGGTGTAGTTTTTGCTCATTTTGCAGATATCGGGTTGACATTTCTCTGGGTTTTTCGAACCTTACTCTCCTCCTGGTTTCCGACGGGTGATATTTTTTTTCTCTCGTCAGTTACAATCACCGTGCCGACAGTGTCAAGGACAGGGCCGAAGCTTCAAAACTAAGCGTAACAAGGAAATGGTGGAGGTGCACATCGAGAAGGGCATGAAGCACGGTCAGCGCATACCCTTTCGCGGGATGGCTGATGAGAACAGTCCTGGTGTCGAGCCCGGCGACCTGATTATTGTCCTCAAGCAGAAGGAGGATACTAGTGGCTTCACTAGGAAGGGCGACGATCTGTTCATGCGCCGTTCGGTGACGTTGTTGGAGGCACTGACGGGGTACACGACCGTTTTAACTCACTTAGATGATAGGAAGTTGATCGTACGGTCTAAACCAGGGGATATCATCAGGCCTATCGATATGACTTCAGAGAAGCACTTTTTGAAGGCGGTGAAGGGCGAAGGAATGCCGACTCACAGGAACCCGTTCGTGTATGGGAACCTGTTTTTGATTCTCGACATTACCTTTCCGGAGAGCCTATCGGAGGAAGCGATGGGGAAGCTTAAGGAGATTCTGCCGGCACCGAGGGACTCTCCTAGGATTAGCAAGAAGATGGAAAAGGAGTACGAGCATCATGAGCTGGTTGATATGGACCCTAGTGTGAGTGCTCGAATGGGGGCACAGAGTAGTGGAGGGGAAGCGTACGATGAAGATGAGGAAGGACATAGGGGTCCTAGTGTGGCATGTGCCCAGCAATAAGGATCGAGTAATTACTACTGCTGCTACTGTAAGAGATCGTTGCTGCTACTCTTCTACTATCTACTAGTAGTCTTTTTATTGTCGTTATATGGTAGTGATTTGAGTTGGAGTAGATTGCGACGATGTGGGCGATTTACGGTAGGTGATAATGATATTTACTCCGATAAAATCGTTGCGGGGAGTGGTGACGCCTGCTATGGTCCGAGCTTGTATGGTACGGCCAGTGGGGGGCTTCTTGAGGGCAGCTTCGCCGTCAGCAAGATTCTTCCAAAGTGAGTTTTTCGCTCCGCCATTTTTGAGCTCCAAGTTTTTGGTAGGTGAGCCGAGTAAAAGTCATCAGGGAGGCGGGGGGCCGGACTTGGTGTTTGAAGGGCCGTCCTTGCAAGGCGTCTTGGATGAATCTGCGAGGAAATTCTACATGGGTAATACGGCGGAGCGAAGCGTGTTTTCTTTACCATTTTCGTAGGTCTTGGTATGGAATGCTGTGGCATTGCCTCATATACGGTGATGTGGGCAGAGACGGTCAATCCTGGGGGTAATGGCGGCTTCCCACAGTGTCGAGAAATGTTCTGTCTTAGCGACCGCAATGCTTCTGTTCCTGTTGTGCACCCAGCTGGCCTTCTCTGTGAAGTCCCAGAGCTTATTAGAGTAGGGGGGAGAATAGCAGTGTTGATGGTAGGGACTTGTAGGTATGCCGCAACGGTGAAAAACGTCACTCGCATGTATGCACAGAAACTCCCAGGGGGAGGAGCTGCTGATTACGAGGGTGCCTGGAGGCTCTTTATCGAGACTGATGCGATGAAACGTGATAAGGACAGCGAACGGGCTTGTGGTTGGCAGTGTTGCTCTCTAGGTAGAGTCGATTTGGAGCCACGCGGGTCTTTGCCACGAGGAGATGCGGCGGCTGGCAGAGTAAGGGTGTTGGCATGGGAAGCACCAGGGAAAATTTCGTTCCGTGAATAAAAATCTCTCACCGACGAATAACGCGTTTTTCACGTAAAACGGTTGAATCGGGTGAAACTCTACTGTTTTAGGTCAGTTTTGATCAGCTCGTCCGCCTGGGGGCGTTGGAATTTGACGTTGATGCTAAAGGGGCAGTTGTCCACGATAGAGACACTCTGGATAAGCTGGCCCCCTCTGTATTTGCCAAGGCTGGCCAGCAGCGCTTTGTAGCGAGCGAATCGGAATTAGTGATTACCCAGGAAGAAGTGGAGACCACGAGGACGATAGACGACTCGTTTGCGCCTAATGTGCGACTGTCCGAGCTCACCACCAAGCAGTTGGAGGAAGCCTTGGTGGGTTTAGAAATGGAGGGAAATTATGCATATGAAAATCCTGAGGAAATTTTTTCCTGGAATTCTTAGTGATTGATACACCTTGTGTATCGAGGGGAAATCCGAGGCAGCCGCCCCTGACTATGTGCATGCGTACGAGGCAAGCCATGTCGCCGCTGTGTGCTCATCGTAAAGAGTTGATGCCTAATCAAAGTGTGGTGCTCGGTGTCTGGGAAATGTCTTTGACCCGCCTCATTCCGCCCGGGTAGCCCGGTAGGAATATTTCCTCCCTTGGTGATCGATTCGCGATATGGGCTCTTTTCCCAGTGTTGTGCGAAGCGAAGACGAAAGCCGAGAATTCTGCTGCTTCTGTACACTTTTACTCGAGTTTGTATATGAACTTGTATAATTAGTGCGGAAACTCCTGAGCTCAGCTGGGAGAAGCGAACATGTATTCGTGGTCGTTGTGGTCAGAGAATCATCCAGAAACCTATAATGTTCCCGGGGAGAACTCTATTTTGAATTTTCCACATGGCTAGGTATACACTCTTTCCCACGTAAATGTCATCATCACATTAGGAACATCATTTTCCCCATTGTTATCAAACCCGCAGGAAGCGTTATTTCTCAAAGTTGCTTGCGTCCCTGGTTGTGGGGATGATACTATTGCTGGTCTCAGGCTAAGCGTCCGGGAGCTCTGGGGGGACAGAATATCAAAGCTGTTCCGTCGCGAGTGGTAGGAAGAGGAAGCGTTGTGTTGAGGGGACAGATTTTTGTGTTAGTTGCTGAACAAAGCCTCGGACACGCTTTTCTACGGTGGTGGGTTTATTCTGGCTGGTGCGGTTCTCTTGGGCCTCTTCGGGGGGAGCACTGAGGAGTATCTTAAGAGGGCCGAGGAGGAGCACAACAGAATGATGTAGATTTTTTTGGGGAAAATTGCGAGGAAATTTTGGGAGGGTATTGTTGGTGCTCGATATACAATTCTACTTGGATTCGCATAGGAAGTTCTATAATTAGTGAGGAAACTTCTGAGCTCAGCTGAGAGAAAGCGAATATATTTTCAACACTTCTCTGGAGAGGTTGACTTGTGAAGATTCGGATTAGGTCCAGTAGGATGATGACGCCATTCAACAGTCAACAGCCTCAGCAGTTCTATGGTGGTTATGCTCCCCCTCCTCCTGGTACCACACCTCCGCCACTTCAAGGATACCCTACTCGGGGTCAGTATTGAACTCTGTGATGATACTCTCATTGATTGTTTCTAATTTTTGATTTTGTGTTGAGATTATCGGGCGCCTCTTCTTAGTCGCTGCTGCTTGTTGCTTACAACAACAGCAAACCACTTGACGTGGTTCAAATCTCATTTGATTTTCAGCGCATATCCCGGGCCCGTATTTGATCAACATCAGTAGTGCTATATGGCGAATTTAGTCAATTTCATCGTTACGTTTCAGAAGGGAAATAATTCCCTTCTCGTGGTTGAGATGAGCTCCTCAATTTTCCAGTTGAACGTCGCTCCGTCACACAATGGGATCTCTCTCTCACGCGTATCTTCTCCTATACAACACAGTACAGACTCTGGGCTGGGCCTATATCCTCTATGAAGCTCTTATGGGGCCTCTACCAGCCGTCAGTGGAAAAGTGATCGAACCTTTGTAAGTGATGGCAATTGGAAAAAGATCTTTTCATGCATTTTGAAAGGTACTTGTTTCAAGGCTTGGCTGTTTTGGAGATCCTCCACTCTGTTTTCGGTTTGGTCAGAGCAAGTCCTGTGATCACTACCATCCAGGTTGAATTTATTTGTAGCTGTAAAAGTTGCATAAACATCTTCCCTCAGGTCTATTCCCGACTACAGCTCATCTATCTCCACTACCGTTGCAGCGAAGTTGCCGATAGCAGCCCTGGTTTGCTCCCCATGGTGCTCGCGTGGTCCATCACAGAAGTTGTGAGGTATTTCCCAGAAGCAAACACTACCCTTTCTAGCTACCAACAGATACTCCTATTTGGGCCTACACATGTCAGTTGGAGCTCCTGGCTTCCTCAAGTGGTTACGCTATACGTAAGGGAAAGACATCTCCTCCGACTTGATCGATTCCCCACGCCTCAGGTTGTTTCTAGTCCTTTACCCTCTAGGGGTATACGGCGAGATGCGTGTCATCTACGACGTGCTGCCTGTGGTTGACAGGGAGGGTATCCTTTCAGTGGCCATGCCCAACTCGTATAACTTCTCCTTCAATTTTGCCGTTTTCCTCAAGGTGAGCTCAATTGTTTTGCCCTTTGCTGTCAGTGCTTGTTTCAGAGCCTACTAGCCATCTATCTCCCCGGGCTGTACGTGCAGTACACCCATATGCTGCATCAGAGGAGCAAACAACTCGGTGGACACGCGAAGAAGTCCCAGTGAATGTCGAGGGCAGTTTATCAGGCAAATACACATCCCCACAGTGTTGTGTTGAGTTTATAGTAAACTGACATTCCACGACGAGTAGCGTCTGCACGCATGTACAAGGATTAAGAGGTGACTTACGTTTACCAAGACACTCGAATTTCCCTCAACTTTTGTCAGCAACCAAACGCCTGAACTTGTCAGAAACGAAAGGAAAATGCAGCAATCTTATCTGCGAAGTTCTTCAATCGAGTAATTTGATAACCTCTTGTCGTCTATCTTTAACAGTATTATTGGCCTTGTCGATAACATAGAGGAGCATCACTTTACGACCACCATCAGAGACGAACCCCAAAGTCTCTGTGAAGCCACCACACCGCACACCAGTGCTGCTAACCTCGCGGAAGAGGTGAAGGAGAGCCTTTCGGGAGACCCTCTCGCCAGGCAGCATCCTTTCAATGCAAATAGAAACGACTCTCTCGAAAACCACAGAGTGCCAATCTTTGACTTGAGGAATCTTTCGTACTGCGTTCTGGTCACTAGGTAAGGCTCTATTCCACAACTTGGCCACGTCGTTGATAGAAGATATAAGTTTTGGCAAAAGATTCGCGAGGTCCTCGTGAGAAAAGATACGAAGTAGGTCCACACGCCAGAAGGTTAGACAAGTGCCTTTTGATTTCGACCGCAACTCTCGAGGCTCCATCACGCCACTGTTCGCAACGGAAACGATCAACTCGGCTGCTCGTGAGGACATGCAGGCCACATCGGCTAAGATTTGATGCATGGCAGTAGTGTTATCATCAAGAAGGACAGCATCCAGAGCCTTCCGAGTGATGCCTCGAACCGACCAAGCTGGGGTGCTATCATGAACATAGGGAATGTGAGCTTCTGTGGCGACCTTGACAAACGTCGACTTCCGCTCGTGAATGAGAGGCCGACACACTATGCATCTGTCGAGACCAGGCGGGGACTCCCTAACGCGATGCATGCCGTCCATATCGCCCATAACGTGGCCTCTACTCAGCTGCTCGAGACGGTTCTCATCAACGTCGTCTTGATGGTGACCAAGGACTACCACACAGTTCTCATCACCAGAGGCTAGACTGTACATACGAAACCTTATAGTCTTCGTTTGCGTTTCATACTCGTCTCTGGTCACGCCGCTAGAAGTCGTCCCCTCTGAACCGTGTGGTCGTGGAAGGTCTATGTTGAAGGCGAACAGCTGGACGTTGCACTGTTCACAAAGCCAGGCCACGAGGTTGAGTTCAGACCGAGCCTCATCGAGGTTCTCTCGGTTCGCTGAATACCCCATATAGAGCGCTCGAAGCTTCCAGTCAACTACTCTGTGGTAACGCAGCGCACAGAGAAGGATGAGAGTGGACGAAGAGTCGACTCCTCCGGAAAGAGATAAGACCACCGTTCTGGACTTGGTCATAGCAAAGGCCTCTTCCAGCCCAGAGCTCAGTTCTGAACACAGGGAGCTTGTGGCTAGCCTCTCTAGAGTACGCGGAAGGTCACTGAGGAAGCTATCGCAATAAGGCCAACACCTAGGGTCGAGATAAGCCTTATTCGGGTAGTCATGGCCGTTCAAGGGGATTTTAGCCGGTTTGCCCTCAGCGCTCAGACTGTACTGTATAAACTCCTCAGCAGAAGCATGCGGAGGCGCCGTCAACAACTCTTCGATCACCTCGCACACCATTGCTGCGAAAAGGGCATCACACGCGAGTCCATTGGAGAAAGCGCGCGCCCAGATGGGGAAATTTGTGATCGATTTTTGTATAACCATAACAGTTGATAAACCGAATCGTTTCCAGAGTCGCTTATTACACATATAATACGATGCTAGAGTCGATTCTGAAACTCCACAAGTGGAATAATGAACCTGGGGAGCGTCTCTGTCGTGGGATTACTACAATGTAGAGGCAATATAAAACGCGATCAGTTTCAGTCCGCTTTCTACGAGGGTTCGAGACGTGATTCGGCATTCATGGACGCAGTTGGTCCAGCCGGGACTCTCTATCACACATCTACGCTCCCCTTCGTATAGAAAACTGACACGGAACTTGAGTCCTCAGGAGCTCACCGGAGTTCTGCGAGAATTCTGCAGTATACACGCCGTGTATTGGTGAAAATCTCCCAGTGTTACATGGTCGTAAATTGGGAACAGCGAGCAATCACAGTTCTCGAATGCCCCTACTACGATGGTGGCTAAACATTGGAATTCTGAATAGGAGTATTGAGTCACATCAGCTCGATCGTTGTGAGTGTAGCAATAGAGCCTTTCATAGTGCGCGTTGTTGTGAACATAGTAGTAATATACTACTAAGGACATTGAATAGTAAGTACTTCTACCGTTAGTCTATAGCAACATTCAATTCGAACCTCATCGTCGTAGTAACGTGGTTTTACTCGACATTGTTGTTGTGTCGTCTGCGAGAAAGATGAGTAGCCCCTCGACCGTTGTGCACTCGGATGCTCCCCTGGGGGGTGTCGGCGAAGCTGGTGCTTCCGCCGCGATGCTTTTGCAAGGAGCTGATGGGGTTGAGACGATGGAAGATTGGCAACATCAAGAGGCCACTTCTCAAAGCTTGCCGTCTGCAGGGATCGAACCAGGGACCGATCCAATAGTAAGATTGTGTCTTAACCCCGCGAGTATATAATAGTCATTCAGCTTCTCTTGGATCAAACACTTCAACTGCTTGTCGCCTTGCTTGCCATTCTCAGTAGAGAACGACAGAATTTAGTATTGCAACGACGGGAGCTCCAAGGCGAGTGGAGGAAGGTGAGGAGACCCGCACTTGGAGAAAATTCTAATACCGCGACTGTCCGTCGCTCCCCTCCGGGACGGCCTCGGCCGTGTCGGGGAGTTTCCAATATGCATACCTCGAGACCACAGTGACGAATCCGCTGAACGAATGCCAAACTCCCGTAGTTCCAAACTGCCAAGGCTGCCGCGCCTGGGGTGCTACCAAGAAGGACAGGATTCGACCTCGCAACGGTGGGCGATATATACCTCTACCGCACTCTACTGGAAGGAGGCAAGACAAGTTGCTGTTGTCGGTCTCAGTTCCAACGCATGAACAGCATGTTGGCCAACGTCAACGCCCGTGTAATACAGAGCGTACAAGAATCCTATTGCTCCCCCTTCACTCGGTGAGGCGCCGAACTGGATGGTGACGAGATCTCACATGCGAGTTCAGGAAGCGACAGTCGGTAGACATGGACTATCCCATACTGCCCTTGGGGTGGTCGAAGAGGGCGCGGACAGAAGCGTCTCGAACGGAGAAGCCTGTTGGGCCGAACCATGATGCTACCGCACAGGTCGGTGTTTGTTGACTACCATACCACTCCAATGCTTCATCGTATAGCTTGGCTACTTCACGCTTCGAAATGGACAAGCCCTCACTGATTGTGTCCAGTGGGCGCCCGACAACGACAAAGCTGATGTAGAGGTGAGCCGAAGGATGTACTCGGCTGGTCTGACTTCCACCGAGACTAGGTGCAGCTTCTCAACGGGTTTCCTGATGATGAAATTGTAGAGGTCCAGCTGGACACTCCGTCTCGGCAGAAGAGCCCTGACGAGCAGTCGAAGTGCTCTTGGGCGGCCCAAGGTAAGCGCGGGAGCTCGGCCTGCTGACTATGTGCGGGCGCAGGTCAGAGTTGGATCACACGGTGGACTGAGGGAGGGAAATCGAGGACGAAAAGCTTCTCATCTCGAAAGTAGCATACTCTTGTCAATTCCTTTTGAGTCGACTTACAGGTACGGCTACGAAAAAGCGATGGCGTTAGCTGAAGACTTGCGGAAAACTGTCGTCGGTGAACCATCGAACAGCAGCCGTGTGAGGGTCCCCTTCGAGTGGGAGGGCCTCAGGAGAATCTTTGTCTCTCTTCAGGATATCAAAAGCGAGTCCTCATCACCGGTCCAGTCGGAGGTAGCGCCTTGGGTTCAGTGAACCGTCGTAGTCATGCCAATGCTTCTGTTTCCTGTCGTCGCTGTTCTCTTCACCAAGACTTCGCATCTTTTTCGGATGAGTTATAATGTGTTGAGGAACCGTCGATGAGCTCCAAGTCTATGTTTTATGCTACCGATGGCCCATCGGCGATGGGAAATTAATTGAATATTCGCTTGTCAATGTTTAGGAGTCGGTGCCACTCCTTCCTCCCGGTGATCGCCAGGGCAACAGCAAGGGCGCGCGAAAGAATCGTGTGGAGCCCTCGAAGGCTATGATAGAATCGGCGAAGGATGAAGGAGTTTACTATAACAAATCTAGCCGAACTTGGTGGGCAGCGACGAACTTGCGAGAGTACCAACATGGAGGTTCTCCAGGTACATAAGGAGGCCCGACAGCGATGGAAGAGTCCGAACCAAAGGCTTCAGCACTCTGCGTCTCGGGTTGCACCCAGCCTACGACGCAGCGGTAAAATACCGAAAGGAACTAAACGAGGCAACGGAGAGAGTGAAGTATGGAGCTACCGAGGGTGAGCAGATGAGAGCGTATTGACTTTGGTGATAGATTGCAACCAGTCACCACGACCCCGGTATCTAGTCCAGAGGCTGGTCGTGAGGGCAGAAGCACTCGAGCTTCCTCACGGAGTGCAGATGTCCCGGTGGTTCCGCTTCTGGTTGAGGACTTCTAGTCTCACTTATATCATCGAAGAGAAGACCTCTTCAATACATACCAGTTGCTTTTGACGCGATACTACTGTATGATACATCGATGCGTCTTGCGAGACGTGAGGGCACTAATTAAATTTGAACACTTCTCTGTACACTAGGGTCGGCCTTGTGTTACCTACAGTCCGGCCATGCGATGATGCTGTGCTACTATTTCATCTAGATAGTGCTATGTCAACCTTTGAGTAGAGAATACCTCCATGATAGGAGGAATCTTCTAGTCACTTGCGCAGACTGGTTAGTCTCTATGATGACCATTGAACCCCTGTTTGGTCTAGACCGAAACTTTGATCTCGCGAATACGACACAATACTATACTTTGGAATGCTGAAGTATAAATGTCTATCCAACCTGTATTCAATAGAGTATCCTCCTACACCTTGTCAATCTCAAATTCGGCAAGTGAAAGAACAAATTGAATAAATGAAACTTGATTTTCGTTGAGTGAAAGGAGTTTTTCATGGAGTGAAAGTTCGAACTCGAAATGAAAGTTCAAGTTCGTAAATGAACTTTATGAATTCGGCAGCGCGAGTTCAAATCCGTCGAACACAAGACCAATTTCGACCAATGAAAGCTCATTTTTCATTCAGTGGAAAAAATCCTTCCACTCAACGAAAATTGAATTTCATTCACCTAATTTGTTCTTTCAATTGCTGAATTTGAGATTGAAAAGGTGTAGAGCTCCATAGCTCCCACATGAGATCACAAAGTGAATAACATGGTCTCTAGTAGAATGCTCCCAATGATGACCATCGTTCGTAATTACGAGTCGTGATACGGAACTCAGGAAACGCATCTGCACAACGCAACATTGTAGCACGAATTTCAGTTCGTTGAAGCACTCTACTATTTCTCACATTAATGCTATTTTCTCACTATTAACATCAACTTCGTTCAGTGCTCCATCTTGGATCTCTTTCATCATGGTGTCTACGTGCTTGCTGACTTCATCTGTGGTCGCGGTTCTCGTCGCTTTACTGTTGTCATGTACACGGTATTTTCCCACTCCCTACCCTGATCGACTCGCGGTCATCAGTGAGGTCGATGCCCGCATTGATAATGCTTTTTACAGCGATGTTACATGGTGGAACGAGAGGGAAGTTATATATACACTCAGAAAGATGAATGTGGTTCGTGCACCATACTTTCATCGTCATCTTTCTAAGGGAGGTAAGAAACTTTCTAAGGGTAGATACTTAGACGTTGGTTGTGGTGGTGGTCTATTGACTGAAGAGATGGCATCAACCTACGGCTATAATATCACTGGTATTGACATCAGTGAGGCCTCCTTACAGCAGGCACGCCAACATGGACGTGATATTCCTAATCTACACTATCAAGTTGGATCGGTATATGATATACCATTCCCCGACAACTCCTTCGATGGCGTTATCATATCCGACGTCCTCGAGCATCTTTTGGACCTTCAAGGAGCCTTGACTGAAATCTTTCGAGTATTGAAGCCCGGTGGTGTGCTCGTATTCGACACCATATCTCGGACCATGAAGAGTTACGTTTTACTATGGTTGATATCACAAGAGCTCCTCCAAGTACGAGAGCCCTCGTCCGCTTCCCAGTTTGATTATCGTGTTCAGATCATGTATCAGGGTGCCCATGATTGGAGATTGTTTATAACTCCACAGGAAATGACTCACTTGCTAGCCAACACCGGGTTCATTCTGAGTAAGTAGCATCATGTCACGCTGCTGATGCAGCGGTTGTGCCCAAGCATTGCTAGTATAGCTCAGCTGTCTCGGTTTTAGGCTCAGAGGAGGACTGGACCGGCATGGACTTCAAAGGGGTGCCACTTGGTGTGAGTATTGAGTTTTCTAACTTCAGATCCGTGAAATAGGAGAAGTTCGAGACCGTGATGGATTGTCATTGGAACTGCTAGATCTAGATAGCCATATAGCCGATCCTGCCCCCAAATTCTTTATCTTTCTTTATTTCCTGACTCGTAGCAGTTGACAATCGCATCGTTTCTGTCGAAATCCCTTTTCTGGTGACTTATATGATGGCGGCAGATATCGTCTGGAATGTGTCAGATACTTCAGTACATTGCCGGAGGGATGGTGGACAAGTCTGTGGTTTTCGCTGGAGGCTTCGTGGAGGTGCCTGGTGATCTAGATATGATCTACGGTGGTGTCGCCTCGAAACCACACACCTCTCAATGACGCATGCACTGTGCTATCAAGTGCTCGTTTTTCACCAATGGTGCAATTGTGTTGTGTATACTGAGTTCAGCGAAGATATTCGGTCTGCTCGCACGAGTGGTGCCAACAATCTTGGGAACTGTGACCAGAAGGAGCTGGGCGTACTTCTCTGGTGACGAACGTTGAGACAGGCTTCCAGGTGTCCCCCCCCGTGGCTCATTGATCTGGGTTTGCGCAATGACTGGTGGTCATCAACGGTTGGTGGCATTCTTGGGCCCTCCCAGACACCCTTGCTGTTATCAACGGCAATGACGTTAATACGGATGAAAGTTATCAGAATCATCTTGGGGGGTTCGTATTCACTAAACTGAAGATGGATGAGGTTCGATCTGCCCGAGTCGAGCTCATTACCGGCTAACTATGCACGGATACTGAAAGTATGAGGAAGACTTTCTCAGCGTTTCTCAAGAGTCAACTTTGAGGTGTTCATATGGCGATCTACGATAGTGTCCCATAGCCTTGTGGTTTCACATCGTTAGGCTCTGTCTCCCCGTATACACGAGTGCTCTCCCGGAGTTTGCTGGTTTTTGTATCAGTAAGTCTCGCTGGATCTTCACTCGTTGATAGTTCATACACAATACAGCATTCGGCAGTATTTTGCCCGCTATCAAACTTCCACAATAATATTCTCACTCATTGATATTTTCCATTCATACTCCAACTCACAGTCCGAGTCCTCAGACCTTTGACTTTGCAAACGCTTCACATGATCAGTGATGAAGAAATCAATGGTCCATCATCACTCACTAGAAACCATTGGAATTTTTGAATGAAAGACCCTCGAAGATGTATCGCGCAGTAAAAGTCGGCAAATGCCGATGCGCATCCAGGGGCACTTGCCAAGGAGTTCGTAAGCTAGATGATGATCAATGCAAGACTGAACTGTGAAGCTTCATAGTCATGTCGACTGGGATCTTCAAAATTCAATCTCGCCCAGAGAATTTCAATACTCTCTCCAACAACATAGTGAATTTAGTTGGTTTGCGCTGACGTTATCACTAATAGTAGCCGTGGCTGGCAAGTCCTGAATCCTAACTCAGAGAGAGGAAGCTCACGTGACGTGAGTCACGTCCATCTGTGAAGCCAACAGCGCAGTCGTCGATCTCAATACTTCTAGTTACTAACTGTATCAACTCACGTGCACAATTCGTAGCAGAGACTCAGCAGACCAGAGAACCAGTATAATACGTATCAACCCGGAGGGGGAGTCCCAAATAAGACCCTGTCAGAAAGGCTCATTCGAGCACTTCCAGACAAGACAACAGTTGGGGCTCTGTTCTCCTCCCTCATGACCGTTTCAAATCCAGATTTTCGAATACGTCAGGCAAAGATGCTCATCTTGCAGACTCGTCGTTCTGAATCTCACGTTAATCGCGGTGACTGCGCCGGTACAATACAAAACAGCACAACAGCACAACAGCGGAGTGCTGTTTTCTATTTTGGCCCGTAAGAACCGCACATGCTCTTATGTGTCCGCTGTTTTTTAAACGACAAAACAGCGCCAGCTATTTACAAAATCGCACTCTTATCACACATAATAGCACTCTGATTTACAAAAGCGCTCTGACATTGTGCAAAACCGCACTTCTGCTGAAACGCTCTTTTCTCTTGTGCAGAAATGCATTTCAGCATGTTTTTAGAATTTGCTCTTTTTCAATTTTTTTCTCGGCAGAAATACATTATGGCATACGCCCCTCTGCCACTTTTCTGCTCATTTCTATCTTTTTTCTCGCAATTTTTTCTAAAACATCGGCGGGTATGAGAGATTAACTCACCGGAAAGTACTACTTTCTGGGAGCGTTCTTCCGCTACGGGAAGTATGAATTCCTCACTGGGTGATGTTTCATCTGCAATCACCCGGACGATACTTTGACGATGTCCGTACTTACGCAGCTCTTCATTTCTTTCAGTCCTATTATACGCGAAATGTGTCCGTTGTGTGGTTTTTCTGCCGCTTTTCCTGTTATGTGCGTGCCACGCGCATACACATGGTCTTCATCTGTCTCTCACATCTGCTATGGAATTTCCCTGCTGCGCGTGCTCCGCTATGCTTTTGTTGATACTACGTTACATAGATGTTCTACACGTACTGTGTTCACGCAACAATACAAGGAGATGAATTGCACTAGTCACTACTTCACCATCCCCACCGACGTTTGTTGTTGCCCTGTATTATTCCACAACTGCTCGATGGCACCCCGAGAAGGTTTCGGCTTGCAAGGTGATATGAGATCCTAAAAAATTTCTCCTAACAATCCAATTTAAGGTGCAACTTTATCAAACAAATAACAAGTAACAGCCAAAGTTACTTAGCAATATATACTTACATTCATGAGGCGCGCTGACTCTGTTCCATTCGATATACACTTGATTTTAAGTTTTCGAAACGCGGGAATCAAGTGCTCAATAACTGTACTATTTCCTCGGAACCTTTTCCGTTGACGCTCGCAACGATGGCATACATAACGCTGCGATGAAGTAAAATCCACAGCCTCATCGGCACACCCTGCAATATGGATTCTCATACCACACGAGTCACAATCGGCCATCGCCCCAAAGTCGCTCCCGCGATTGCAAATATGACAGCAGATTGGTTTAGGCATAGGAACCAAATAACGCAAACTGATAATGAAAAAATTTCCCATTGGAAGACAAGCAAACAATGTTACGGCGAGTAATGTAAAACAATATGAGTGACGACTTCGCTCCGCCGTCAAACGATCGAAACGCCACGTTACTTATCGCGATTGCTGTTATGTATGAAAAGGGCAACGGACAAAAGAGCACTCGAAATACATAACCGCATACAAACTTTATACAAAACAGCATCTGCGATTTCATAATAACACATTTTTCGTAAATAAGAGCGCAGCCGCTCTTTTGACAGTGCGATTTATTTTTGTGCTGTAATGGTTACCTGCGAGTTTTAGTTGTAGAAAACCGCACTTCTGCGGTTCTGTACGTCAAACTACTATTACAGCACATCGCACTTTTTTCTGCTCTTTCTCGTGTGCTGTTTTGTATGGTAGCCTGCGCGTAGCTTCGAGTTTTACATGCAAGTTGCAGAAAAATTCCAATCTGGCGAACCTTTGTTGTTGTTTTAACTTTTTTGGTATTTACCTCTCCACAGCGGGACTTTCCAGCGTTAAAATCCCAAATCCATGTTCCGTTGATAAGTCTCCCTTTTGAAACGAAATAGGAAACACTACGACACGAAGAAGTGAGTTTCAGAACAATGGATGCTCACATTTGTCCGGCTTCATGTTCCCTCCTTGCACCCCCGTTTGTGTTGGAGCGTTTTGAGCATGGTCCTTGGTGAAATGATGCAGCGGAATACTGGGGGTAGCTGAGCTCTTGTTCGTGTCCCTGTAGGAATGTAGATGCATTTAATGCATCTACGGGAACTTTTGATATATTGCATTGCATCATATCAAAGAGTTCCCGTCAAAATCATCCGCTCCCCGTATCGTTCACACAGAGATGTATTCGTGAGGCAATGGTTAACGTACGTGGCCGTGAAGAGCTCCAGTGCAACCTGCTTCTAGTATCCCGATTGAAATGATTGCGAAGTCTGCTGGCTTCGTGGCGCTCGTTGCAGCCTCGATCATGTGGTTCACTCGTTCACGTTATTACCTACGACCATACCCAGACAGGCTGCGAGTTATCCAAGAAGGAGATAGTCTCATCGATAATGGTATTTATGATGAAGCACAGTGGCATGAGAATGGCACCATATGGCGGGCGCTCGAGATGATGAACGAGGTTCGTGCACCGTACTTTCATCGTCATCTCTCTAAGGGAGGTAAGAAACCTTCTAAGGGTAGATACTTAGACGTGGGTTGTGGTGGTGGTCTATTAACTGAAGAGATGGCATCAACCTACGGCTATAATATCACTGGTATTGACATCAGTGAGGCCTCCTTACAGCAGGCACGCCAACATGGACGTGATATTCCAAATCTACACTATCAAGTTGGATCGGTATATGATATACCATTCCCCGACAACTCCTTCGATGGCGTTATCATATCCGACGTCCTCGAGCATCTTTTGGACCTTCAAGGAGCCTTGACTGAAATCTATCGCGTACTGAAGCCCGGTGGTGTGCTCGTATTCGACACCATATCTCGGACTGTTTGGAGTTATACTACTGTGTGGATGATAACGCAGGAAATACTGAATGTAGCTCCATGCCCTCGGATCGTCGAGAACCCTATTTCTATCAGATCATGCCTCCTAATGCCCACGATTGGCGACTGTTTATCACGCCCGATGAGCTCAAGCTCGCTCTCTCGAATGCAGCATTTTCCACCGGTGAGTTCTACAGGTTGTCATCTTGCCATGTGATGAGACTTCGTGCTCGTTAGATAGTAATGATGGCGCGGAGTGGGCTGGCCTTGCCCTGAGGAGCCCAGTCAAAGGGGTAAGCATTCACCGTTCTAGTTAGTGTTGCATAATCTTACATGCGGAATGTCATC